TTAATCGCGAGGTTGGTGGTATTAATCTGTCTTTGTGTCGGAAGGAATATTTAGTCGAAACGTTTTCGCACTTTGTACACGGTAAAGTGAGAATTTTGTACTGTTAGAAGTAGGGTTTACAACTGTCGGTCTGTTTTATATTTATCAGAATTCTTACAAGATTTTTTTGAAGAGTAAACAGGTTTGATGCATCTGTATTGTAAGCTCACAGGATGACACCGCAGCTTAGCCAAGCATAAGCGTACTCGTAGTAAGTATAAGTTGTAGATTGAACAATAAGAACCTTTATATAAGAAATAATTATTCAAAATTACGTTCTGGATGTGTTGAAACTCGAATTTTATAAAATATAATACTAAGTTCACTGAATATTACGATGTTATGTTACGTTTGTATGCAGTACAAACCCTTAACGCCACCAAGCTTCTCATAGAATGTAAAGACCTTGTATAAGATTACGTAGAATTTTAGCAGCAGCAGAGCTCCTTATGAAAGTTCGTCTAGGGAAGTACTTTTTTTATGATACCAAGTCATTTATGGAAGGAACAAGTCATGCGCCTGGTAGTAGGCGACGCGCCTGTCCATAGCAGTTGCAGTGTTCTTCAGAGCTTTAGATCATAAAGATCTGCGGGGTACTGCCACTGCACCGCACACCCTGAGACAAAAGTTGAGTGTGCCTGTAATTTCGCCAGCACCCTCACCCTTGAAAACCGAAACGCAGTAATGCTGCTTACACATTACTGCTTGGCGTCAGAAAAAGGTTGCCTTTTCTTAAGATATTATCCGGCTCGAAGGACCAAAGGAGTGGTGGTGCGATTTTAGTTGCGGGTGCCCAAATTGGCCCTTCGATTTGTGGACTGTATATGAATAAATATGTATGGTTGATTGGAACAAATAAGAGTAGGTAAGTTGGAGCACAATACTTCTTGAAACCAACCGCATAGCCATTCTGTCAGTCAGAGTAATTCTTGATGTTACAAGTTCACCAATACGTACGTTCACTATTGTTCACTATAGGTGACACTTACAGCTCCGACTATGAGGAGATTTGGTAGTCGGCTTAGAGTCGGCGGCACAGCGATGGCAACCGTTACTCGTGCGGAGCGCGACGGGAAGTGAGCGTGCCTATAGCTCCGGTATCCATCTGGAAAATAGGGAGGTACTGTACATGCACTCAGAGTGGCTCACCTAAATCACTAGCCTTACAGAGAACCGGATGAAGTACGTGCAAACGTGCTGATCCGGGATTAGAATCTGAATTAGATGGTCCCTGTGCAAGCTCGTAGTGTTATAGTGCCCTTCCCACATAACCAAGAGGTTAATAGGGAGGGGCACTCTAAACAAAACTTACGTAGGTATAGAGGAGATTTGGTAGTGGAGTCAACGGCTTAGCGGTGGCAACCGTTAGGTGTGCAATGCTCAACGGGAAGTGAGCATGCCGACAGCTCTGGTACCTATCTGGAAAATAGGGAGGGTGGTGTACGTGCATCCTGGGCGGCTCACCACTAGTAAGCCACTAGTCTTCTGAGAAACGAATGAAGTCCATGCAAACGGCTGATCTAGATCTAGGAATCAGAACCTAGCTGAGTAGGTCCTTGTGCGGCCTTGCTTGCACAAGAAGTGGAAAGCTACATATGACAATACAACACTTCCAAAATAAAATACTGAGGACAATTGTGGATGCTCCTTGGTATATATGAAATGAGGATCTGCATCGTGATTTGGATATAGAGCCTGTAAATAAAGTGATAATAAAGAACGCCGACGCTCACGAACATAGATTTCATCATCACGTGAATATAGAGGCTATACAGCTACTCGACAATACAAATATAGTGCGTAGACTACAAAGAACTAAACCCATTGGGTTAGTGTATTTAATTATAGTAAATAAAATAAATATTAGTGCCAATCCTAACTAGACTATGAACACACAAACAAAATGCTTTTCCATGAATTAATATTAAAAGATATTTTATCGATGGACAATTTCTTTATATAAGTTACTATTATTTTAAGAAATTATGTTAAATTAAGATTGCTTATTAGTCTTGTAAAATGGCTAGATTGTAATTAGTTACAAGGTTTTGTTTTGCTTTAAAACAAATAAAAAAATAATAATATAAGTCATGTCTAAAATTCATTCCTAGTAATCAAGTTACCAGTACCGTAAACTGTGTAATGAAACCTTGTAGAAGTGTCGCAATAAGCGAAGGGCCAGTCTGAAATAGAGCCATAGTGTAAAGTTCAAGTTATCCTTGGGCGTTAGGCTAGCAAACAGAATATCCAATTATATTTCAAACAATGGCAAACGAGTAATATTTTCTGCCATTTCTATAGACACTACAGAAAGTAACGACATCCCAACTAAATATGCACTTCTATTCTAGATTAAATATGCATTTCTCTAGTCCATACACCATGTCAATAAAAATATATAACAAGCTTCCGGAGAGTTTTAAGAATGAGAAACAACAAATATTTTTTTAAAAACTTAAAGAAATTACTAATAAAAAATAAAAATGTAAAAGATTTTTTAGAAGATGAAATTCTTGGTACCTGAGTTTTGTTAACTAATTGTAAACATACTTGTTTAAATTTAGTTTTTAGTTACAATAGAAAAAGTACATATTATAAAAATACTAAATTATATAAAACTGTTGATAGATATTTAATTAATTACATATTAAGTAAAAGTAACAATTATGACTAGACCTCTCTTCTACTATTTGCTATGCTCTATTCAGGGTCCATAATTTAATGTACATATATTATGTCACGGTATGCAAATAAATGAGAATAAAGAATAAAGAAAGCTCAAAAAGGTCGGTAAACACTTTCTTTAATATTATTATAGCTTTATTGAATATCACAATGTTTTATTATATTCTATAGCTGTAGTTGGTAAACGTAGGTTCATAGGGCTAAAAATAATTTCATTAGATCGATTAAGTATTTCGTTGATTTTTCTTTAATCGAACACGTAGTATTAAATTTTGTTGTTAAAAATGTGTTGGTCGTTCAACCATTGTATTATAATTATATGTATATGAAAGTTAATGATATAATTAATAACGCACACACTCAACATAACCTCGCACCAGGGCAACCCTGTGTCGCAGGTGTCATGGACGGTGGTGGGTCATACAAATATCTCTAAATAAATCTCTCGGCCCGGGAGTTGAACTCGGGACCTCTGCGTGGCAGTCCAGCATGGTAACCGTTCAGCCACGGAGGCAGTTTCTCTGAAAATTGTTCTGCATTAATGCGATATGTGATTTTTATTTGACAGCTCTTAATCTGACAGATATTTAAGATTTTTTTATTGACAAGCATTTAAATAAAAAGAGCTCATATCGTGGTCAGAAACCTGTAATTAGTGAATAACCACGAAACCTTAAAATCCATAAAGCACTTACGATTTTTTACTTGTGCTACCAACGACCAGTGACTGTCCCAATTGCCGTGTCAAGTCAGCTTACGTACATAACGACAGAATTCAATGATACAAATTATAAACTCAAGCTCTTGTTAGAAACCACACGGTCTACTCGGGAAATAACTTTTCCTTCTCTTTTGCGATCATAACTCTGCTTCTCGAACGCCTCCTGTGATACCGGACTTCGATCTGCGCAACTTCTATTGTCAACATGATTCACTGTTTTATTCTTCATGTCATCAAACGTTTTTACTTCTATTTGTAACGTTCTTTGTTCCTCATCAAACGTATCCTAATTCTAACTAATGTTCTCTTACATATCTACACAACACTCGCTATACCTTTACTTTAACAAGATGTAATAAAGTGTAAAATTGCTATAGTAAAATATATGATCCGTGCAAAGTAGCGAAGGTTCTAAAATATCTCATGCGAAAGATAGTAGCCGTAAGAACACGCGAAAGGTATGTGACATTGAAAGCACAATCTCAGAGGAACGGAATATTTTCCATACACCAAATTGAAAGTAGGTCATTGTTAATTTCATAATACTCAACTATGTCAAGATGATATCTGCAAACTCTAAAGTAAACAGATATGCATTTTAATTTACTTAAGTAGTATTTAAGCTTAACATATGATGTTCAAGTACGAGTATACATTTACGATTTTAATCTTTGAAACTATTGAGGCACCTGAGAAACAAACTAGAGATTGTTATAGGTTAAAAGATATTATTGCTATTGTTTTAGTATGAATAACCAGTCAGAGAATATCAGTGTTACCAGATTGTTAGTTATATTATGCCAAAAAAGATCCTAATTCACCAGCTAAATCATAAGACATGTACTATTTAATATGAGATGGTTTAAACATACCAGTTTTAATACTTTTGTAATATGAGTTTTACCTTCTTTACGTGCTAGTTCCTGACTAAATCTTTAACTTCTAATTCTCCCTCGTTGAAAATACTCAAAAAACTGGCCGTTGCCATGGTTACTATGGTAACATATTCATAAATGCCGGTAACCCCTCTCAAGCCACAACTATGTCGAAGGTTTTGAAACTTTTTTAAAGATTTTCTTTTATGGTCTAAAAACCAGTAAACAATTTTTACAGTAAAAAAATGTTTTGAAACGGCTTAAAGTTCCACCTCACGGAAAACACGCAACAACCTATAGATATTTGCGACGCTAAGTATTCTTAGTGTTCCAAATCTTTACAGGTTTTGGGACATAGTAATGAGCTGACAACTATGATAATTATTTTGGTCTCAAACTAGAGATTTGTTAGTATCAGAGAAAGGAAATCCACTGGCCCTATCCAGAATACCCAGACCAGTATCAATTTGTAAAAGTTATTTTCCCAAATTGACCCTAGGAGGTTCTAGGATCTCATCTAGAGCCACATTATGTACAGTGACAATCGTAGTAGTATCAGGTAAGCTTGTGATTGCATCGGCTCTCCCAATTCTTCTGGAACGTAATGATGAATTGATTTAAGATAAGAATAAGCGAAAGTATTGCACTGTTCATTCATATAATTATTCTTTACGTTACAGGGTATCCCAGAGTTGGATGTTCCGGGCATCGACCCTCTGAGCTTGGGTCAGATCGCGCTGGCTCGAGGTCCACAAGGAGCCAAGCTGACTGCTGTCGTGAACAACGTCACTGTGCAAGGATCTAGCGACTTCATACTACAGGAGTTAAAGTAAGTTTCTGACATTAATTTAGGATTCTCTCGATTGTCATACTAAAACATTCTAAAATCGTTAAGGTGTTAATCGCGTTGGCGTTATAATGTTATCATTATTAAAAGCAGACTATCATTTAGTTTGTTCATTTTCATTTATTGTGATCGGTACTTAATTAGGGTTATCATCCGTCCGGATTTAGCTTAGGGTAACAATTTTCAGAATAAAAGTAAAATCCATCTTGCAATACTGTACACTGTCGTCACTTACTGCGCTGGATATTAACAAGATTATCATTCGCAGCTAACCAAAAAAGAAAACACAAAAGACTCTAATTTCGCCGCACGACTCCACCCCCACATTGGCTATCTCATCCACGCACGTATACCGCACCGACATAACGGTTTTGTGATCTTTTTCTAGATGGGTCAAAATTCGAAATAGTAATATACCTCTAGAAGCATTTTGTAATAATATCATTAAATTTGAAAAAAACTCAATTTACGACAAAAATTGCTTCTCGAGCGCTTGCTCGTCTCTGCTGTCGTGTGTGAGAAAGAAGACATAGCTCGTACTACATATAAATTGTATTAAACATGTTCTAAATGAAGCAATATTTATCTGCCATCAGAGACCTTGACGAGTTCTTCGTCCTGAATAAAAAACCAACGGAAACAAGCTTATTTGTAATAACTACACGTAATATCAGTCAAAGGGATGTGCGTGATTAGACGCGTAAACTACATATTTATTTAACACATATCGTTTAAACTCCTCACATTTCAAGGTCCCGCTGATGCAACATTCGTGTTGTTAATGTTATTTTATGTAACAGTAACTGGTTGTGTATGTGTAGTGTCATGTCTGCTTACAACCAAAATTTACTTGTTTACAGGTGTAATTACTACAGTCTTTGGATAGATGAATTTTGCTGTTTATTGGAAATGAAACATTTCGGATCTGAATCGCGTTTATTTATTTTTTCAAACAAACCAACTTTTCAGGCCCTTTACAGGTTTCTTGGCTACGGCTGAATGATGACGTTATAATCAGCAAACAATTATGTATATTATTAAAACAAACCCTATTTTTCACTATGGTTACAGAACTTAATAATTTAAATACCTTATTTGAGTTCACTCTAATTTATGTTACATATAACCAGTTTGCAATAATTTTATTTAAATTGAAAATATACATTTTAACTAAATTAAATTTATTAATTGAAAGGAACGTTGGTTTGTTTGATAAATATACGTGATTTAGATTGGAAAAATAGTTTCATTTAGCTTTTTGTTTCAACTTTCATTTGTTAATGTAGTTTTTCCTTTAAACATAATGTAATATTCCAAATGTTTAAAATATAGGTAAAAATGAGTACCTTGTGGCACTCTTTACAAAATTCTGAACAAAATTGTTTTAAACATTAACTATTAGTAGAAAAGTGTATTATATTACTAGTATTATATATACAGTGTATTTTCATGTTATAAGCATAACTGCGTTCTGGTTTTGAAGGGTAAAGTTGCTGGTGAAACTATAAGCACATGGGTCTTGTCAAGTTTATGTCTTAGGGTGACGGGCGCAGTGTTCCTTTGACCTTTGTGATTTAAGGCTTTGAGTGGTTTTAAAAAACATACCTAATTACTTTTTTATATTTTCAGGTCTGATCTTGTAAAGAATCGATTCGACTTCAAGATACTGTTGCCTCGACTCGAGTTTAGCGGCAAGTACAAGATGGACATCCAAGTTCTTCTTCTGAGGCTACAGGGACGAGGAAACATCACTGGCACTTTCAGTTAGTATTTTTTACTTTCTTTTTCTTACCTTTGCCTGAAGTAGGAAAGGTATAAAAAATGTGATCTTTAGTGCGTTATATGCCATAGGTCCGTGGTCATTCAGGTATTAACTCTTTCGTAACAGAATTTACCTACAGTCAGCACCCAATATAAATGAACCCAATATAGGATTTGACACTATAGTCAAAAGTAATATTATTTTTTAGTTGAGATTGGCTTACGTTTCTTCCCAGTTGTCATTGACGTTAAAAGTAAGGTTGTGAACCAAGATGACTCTCTCGCCGAAAAGGACGCCTCGTTCACTCTGGCCCTAAAAATAGCTAATAAAGTATTTTTGGATTTTTTAATGCCGGAGGCGTAATATAATCCTTTTTTTCCTAACAAAAAGATAACTGCTCTTTTGAATTTTTTAATTCTCAAGTTTGACCTACATTGTATATTTATATAGACATTCAGGGTCATTTATGATATCAGTCATAAAGTAAATTTTGTTTGTTATATTATACAAGTTTTCCTTCAAGCATCGTTATGTCGTTGCCTCTATTTTGTTATGCACGCGCGTAACATTGTTCAGTGAACTAAAACTCACAATTACCAAGGAATTCATAGTTTTAAATAGTAAAACTATATTCCCATTTAGAATTTCACTCATACAATTCCGTAGAAAAGTACAGCATACACAGACGCGTTACGTGATAAAACGGGATTTTGTACTTATCTAACCGATTGCAACATCCCTCATCAGTATTAGCGCTCGATGTAGAGTATGTGACTGCATAATAATAACTATCTAGCCAACTAATAAACCCTTCTTGCCGTTACAGAGGATTACGCTTGCAACGTAACTATGAGAGGTCACAAGGAGAAGCGCGGCGATGATGAGTTCCTGAAATTCGATCCGTTCAAGGTCAAACTGCGTGTAGGACAATCTTCCATCTACTTGACCAACCTGTTTGACGGTGACCCAGTCCTCGGGCCTGCTACAAATCGAGTCATCAACGAAAACTCCAATGTCTTTCTAGAAGAAATAAGACCGGTCCTAGAACGTAGCCTTGCGGAACTCTTCACGGAAATGGCAAACAAAATAACTTCGAAATTCACTTATAAGGAATTATTCCCGTTGTCTTCAACATAACAAATTTAACACTAATTTGATACGATTTGTGATGTTTTGTTTAGATTATGTCTTAGCATTGGGACGGTTAACATTATTATTAGGCTAAGTAAATTCCACGAATGTGATAATGAATTCTAAAAGATGTGTCATACATCTTTTCAGTGCTAAGACGTTAAAGATCATGAACATTAAGTGTAATTGTACATATACGTAAGTGTAAAAACTAGAATACGTCAGATTGGTACAAGTTTGGTAAATAATGTGACTGGCTGATCGTTTCACTGCGCTATTATGCAGAGGAAATATCACGTCTGGACAATATATTAAGAAAGGATTAAGAAGTCGGTATTTTCTTTTGTTACTGTGTCCGCATTAGACGTTCTTCTAAATACAATAACGCTAGTACATAATTTGTTACTCAATGTGGACACCAAAAGCGTTGTACGTAGTACAAGTATATAATAAATATTTTCAATGGTTAAGGTGGAAATGACGAACTTTTTTGTATATTGTTTTTAAGTAATTCTCGGTCAATTACTTACACATCTTCGTATGTTTTCATAATCAGACATTTTCTGCCCTTTTTGTGTATATTGTATTTACAGAGACGGCTTTAAAGTACTTACTAAAATGTTATTGTAAATTATATTTACTTTAGATTAAAGAAATTACAAGATTTATAATTTGTTTTATTTTTTCAAAGATTTAAAATTTAACACTAGAAGTGTATTTTCACTAAAATTCTGCAATTTGCTACGAGGTTAAATAAAGTTAATAAATAAAAAGATATATAACATTCTTTAAAAGTCGTCATTTTTTAATTCAAAAGGAGGATGGAAACAAAAGAAACGGACAACTTTATTATTATCATAATACATACAAAAATAACTTTACAGGTTTTAAAATCCTGTAAAACTTTCTCTTCATAAAATAGATTTATTACGAAATCCTTATTTTACTTTAACATTACTGAATTAAAAAATAAAGAATTCCTTTCAAATTATGACGAAGAAAGAAAAGAACTAATTGCAGCGACATCTATTATTTTTTGATACATTTAATTTTTAACCTCTAATAAATTACACGTGTCATAAAGATTTATGGATCATGTTTCAAGAGTAATTTTAGTGAAATAGTTCATTAGTTCTCGTACAGATGTCGCGCACAACGAAGAAGGTTTGGCCTTTTTCAACAAGAACGTCTTTGACTCCAGTGATGAAAAAAGAACTTGGTAGTTTGTGTTTTAACTACCTACATTTAACACGACATTGCCGTCAAAGGCAGCCTGTAAGTTTACCCATACGATATTCAAAGTGTTGATTAATTTATTAAATAGTAGTATTATTACTAATAGAATTTAATCGATTTTGTTTAATTTATGTGATTATGAGCAAGAACATTTTGAAGAATGAATCTCAAATCAAGTTTTAGTGGCGAACGTAAGAAATACGATTATCTTTCGTGGCGACGTAGAAAAAGAAATGTAGTTGAACGGGAATATTTTTTAAACTTTATTGCAAACAATAATGTACAAATGACGAGCGCAGTGGTAGTGCCCCTCAGATCTTTGCAATTTAAAGCCTTGAGTGGCACTGTAACCGTTATGGACAGGCGTGTAGTTTACTACCAGGCACACGACTTGTGCGTCCCGTTACTTGATATGATATTAAAAAAAAATACTATGTAACTCGCAGGTTATTCGCTCATCAGATGGTGGTACAATTTAACAGATTGTAGCTGGACCGCGTCGATTGCAGCATTTGTTTACAGATAATTCTGTTACGCGGCATTATGTAATGTAATCGTGCGCCGGCGTTGCTGGCTGCTCTACATTTTTTATATCGGAACTATGTGACTGCATTGCTCTGATTCTGACACTGACAGACCATGTCTTTTTGGTAAAATACACAGGCTCCCAAATTATAACTAAGATCTCTTGATCTCATATATATTATATTACACTATCCTATAATTTTCCAATCAACCGGGTCTGATTTGTTGTACAGCAAGTATTAAATGACGACCACGATCTTCATATATAGCAAAGGTTACCAAAGTGCTCCCAGTGGGCGCTTAGCTCTAGGGGTGGTAGGGCGGCGTCGTGGTGAATGTTCACTGATCCCACGGCGCCGACTCAACCGGCGGGAGGGAAACCCGGGGGGGCTTTAGTGGGGTAGTCCCTCCAGTTTGGAGGGAGAGTCCCCACATAACTCCTGCGTCTCCCTGGGCTCAGGGATATCCATAAAGATTTCCCCATTTAGATTTTCAAAAAAAAAAAAAAAAAAAGGGGTGGTAGGGTTTCGGAAGCAATTCGGGTGCCACCGCATTTGAAGAAAAACCTGAATTATTTATATAAAATATACTACAATACATAGTAACAAAAAAATAAGCATGTATTCTTTTTCCGTAATTTTTTGTATAAAAAATACCTGGTTGCATTTGGACATATTCCCATTTGAATACCAAAACTGATCTACCGCGAATTTTAAATTGCAACTGATCCCCTCTATACTGTGCAACTCCCAACGGATCCCCTCAGTGTATTTGTAAGGTAAGTAAAATCAAGAGAAAAATAAGTTTTGAAATCTAAGTTAATACAGTTATATAAGTTAGTGCTGTTAATGTTGTTCATTTCTAATAAACTAAATGATATGCAGCACAACCCTAAAATACATTTTTTTGTTGACTGTACCACAGTACCTACCAAAAATAAACTTGTGCGTACCACGGTATCAGGTGGAAATAAAATATTAATATTTATTCTTGATCCCCTGAATTGGGGATACGATGGGAATAAGCCATTTTTTGTAGTGATGGGCGTTGAAATTTTTTTATCTTGCCTAAGTGGGCGGTAAGTCAAAAAATTTGGGAACCTATGATGTATAGTAACATATTGAGTTCTCAGGTCTTCGCGAAAGTTATACAAGGGAAATCAAACTATTTCTTTCTACATTTAAATCGCGGATATTTGTTTTTAACTAACCAACGTTTCAGGCCTTTTACAGGTCACAAGGTCACGGTTGACTGAGAAGTCATCAAACAGTGCAAAGCACCCTATTATATATTATATATTATAATTCTTTTTTTTTCCAAATTACGTTCCAATTTACGCTTCACACGCTTTACAAATGATTTTATTTTAAAAATATGAATTTTTACTGAATTAAATTTATTATTAATTAATGAGTAATAGAATTAAAATAAATTGAAACATTAGTATAATAATAACATAATAATAGTAATTAGCGTCTTTTATATTTATTTTACTTATATTTTTACATAATTTATATTTGTATTCATTTTACTATTTTAATTGTGTTGTTTTCACTGAAGTTCTTGAGTTTCTGAAATGTTTTTACCATATCAGGTTTTGGCAAAATGTTCTATGAATCTCTGAATGATATTCCATAGTAGCTGCGTCACAGAGCTTAAAAAGGTTTTACCCTTACAATATGGAAAAATATAAAGAAAGTTATTTCATTGTCATGTTGTTTGTCAATAAAATAATAGTGCGTCAATAGTGATTTTCAAAATTACGAATCCGTCCGTCATGGTCAGTGTTTTCGATGCTTGTTTAGTGCAGTGAATAAATCTTTACTTTGTTTCCAGTACTTTCTGACTACTAATTATTTATCACATTGAAAATATGAAACAGTGCTTGTTTCTCTTTTATAATTTCCCAAATGCATGTCTAATCATCAAACATTTTTGATGTGGTCTGGTTTGTGAGATAAGTAAGAAGAAGAAGAAGTAAGATAAGAAGAGAAGAAGAAGAAACGTTTTGAACTCTATTAGTTTTGAAGTACATTAAACTTGCCTTTGTTTATCAGATTTACATGTTTTAACAATAATTGCGCTAAATTCAATACTTATTATATATTTCCTGTAGATGTGCAAATTATGCTCACGTTTCTTTTCACTTATACATTTTTTGTATGCAAGTATGGATAAAATGCTTAATGTTTTCAAATAAATAAAACAGACTTATCAAGATTCTTAATTTTTACTGTAAATCCATATAAGTCTCCTCAGCCACTCTCATAATTTGTACGGGGTGCTCGGTTTTTGACAATGTTATGAACTTTAGTGGCTGTTAAAATGTTGTAATAGTGGCGCGCAGGACACTTGTTAAATTATTTCAGGTACTGTGGCTAATTGGTGTTTGTTACATTTTACACTGATTTTGATGTTCATTTGGTCTATAGGTTCATACGCGTCTGTTGTATCATAGTCATCTCATTCTGTCTCATCGTCGCTTGGACTACTTGGAAATAGCACCGGCCCATTTTTTTTTGGCCCAATTTTTTTTCCTTCTTATCTTCAGTCTTTTATGCTGGTGGTTCAGACTTAGGTTCCAACGATTTAAATTTTAACACCTTTCCCGGTTGTTTAGAATCCTCTGCCGATGGTTCAGGATTAGGATCTTCTTATGCTTTCTTTTCATCTTGCACCTCTTTTGGCGGTGGTTCATGTTTGTCATTTGATTTTGATTTCTAATTTGTAGATTCACACATATCGTTTAGATCATCATCTATTGATTCTGTATCGTCGTCGCGGGGGGGAGGCGGAAATAACACAGGACCTAAATTTTTAGGAGACATTCTTGAGGCATCGCTAATCTCTTTTGCTGGTGCTTCAGCCTCAGGTTTCTCTTTTGGTGCTTTAAGGTAAGGCTTCTCTCCTTCACTGCATTTATCGACATCAGGTTCTGTGACAGGTATTACTTTTTCCACTTGCTTTTTATCATATACTCCTTTATCTTTATCAATTACCACTTTTGATGGCACATTAGCATCGTCATATGAAAAATCGACACAAGTTTGAACATCTGTTTCTACAGACCCATTTTCATCTACTGTTACCATAACGACAGGATTAACATGATAGCTGACTGAGCTGGGATTTGGAAATACTGTTTCACCACTAGCAATTCCATAATTAATTGTAGGTTGTGCTGGCCATGTAAAATATACGAATATATTTGTCCTTGTAGGTAAACTATATAAAGGCCATGTAATTTTAGTATAGTCTTGTTGTTGCGGTTTATAGGGTCCATTGAATACTGGATTTATACACTTCGGACTATGATTTGGTTGACAACTAGGTTTCAGTGGACTTTTAGCAAATGGTGGAATATATCTGGATTCATAACAAGTTTCTTGTGGGCAAACTGCTCTTGATTCGTATTGTTCATACTGTAAAACAAAATCATTTGTGTTGGTTTACTTAAAGTAAGTTTACTAATTCTAATCACTTATATGGTTCGTGGAAAGTGTGTAACATAAATGGTGAATTCAATTACAAATTTTAACTATAAAGCACTCGTTTGAATTAATAAATTGTACTCCGAATGATAATTAAGTTGACCCAAACCCAATTCAAAAATGTTTAAAAAAATAGCTTCACATCTTAGAGGAAAATTTCCACAAATTTAAAGAAAGTAATTACTAACCTGCCAAGAACACAAATAATATACTATAAAACAAACACGACCCCACGACATCCTTGGTAAAAATAATCGAACAATGAATTTATTAAATCCTTTTATAGTTAATGATACTACAATATTTTATCAATTGAATTTTTATTGAATTATACCATGAACTTCTTATCACAATACGGCGTTGAAGCACGTATGTGTAAGCCATTTTCGTCAGGAATCACAAGTGTTGGAATGAAATCCACACAGGTGTTTTTTTTTATATGACAATTTGTTCATCAATATTCAAACAATTTATGATGTTTTATTTCGTTTTATTTATGATTTGGATTTTGCAATCGTTAATATTATCATTAAGCTAAGTAAATTCCACAAATATAATATATCACTATTCCAAAAAAACATTGTCATCGATGTTTTACATTTTTAAGGAATTAAAGAAATCGTATAACTTAAATATCAGGATTTTGATCTAAATCTTAGTTTTACTTTCTAGTAGTTAAGCTTTTCTTGTCTTTTTTACCTTACCTGTATATTATCTTAATTAAATACAACTACCTAAGTATTTAATTTTTTTTAAGGTGAAGAAAACTAAGGACTAGAAATAGATTTTCTTTAGTTCAAGTTACTGTGATAATAATAATAATATAACAAGGTAATTTTCAGATTAGTTTTCAGTACATAATTTTGGTGGCAATTTTTATTGTTTAAATATTCTAGAATATTTCTCATGAAGCTTTATTTAGTACTCGAGTGTAGTAACCTAAACTATTATTTAATATTTCACGATGATATACTCCAATACTTAAATAATAAAAATTTAACAGAAATTGGGTAGTGAAAACTAATCTGAAAATTACCCAACACCAATGAACACCCAGACCAGAACCAATTCAGGAAAGTTAATTTTCCTAATTATATTAAAAAAACGGGTCGAACCCATCATCATAAGATCAAGTTTACCATAATTATTATATATTATTATTGTAGTGTCAATTAACAAATTTCTAGACGATGGGACAAGTGGATTTTTTAATAAATATTTATTTTCCGAAATTCACACTCCAGGAATCTTTAAACAAGTGGTCATCAAATGTAGGTAAAAATCATACCAATCCCAATGCCAACCAGTCTTAAAAATACTGTTTTCAGATCAGTCCATCTGGCTACGATCTACAGTGAATGTTATAAAAACACATCACGCACACGCACGAACGCCAACAGACACGCACGCTCACACGCACACGCACACACACAAACAATCTTACAATATAACTCCTTTTTGCGTTGGGGGTTAAAAAAACAGTTATATCATAGTCTTTCAGTGGTCTACCAGTGACAACTGTTATTTGTTTGATGTATTTTATTCCTAACCACTCTCGAAATCGATTATTGATTTATATATCATGATTCATGATTTAATAGTGAAACTAATTTAGTAGTTTGCACATAGATGTCGTACAAAATGAAAAAGGTATTTCCATAAATAATAAAAACATGCGTTAATAACGTAAAATCTAGTTTGTATTATTTCCTAAATACAAACTAGATTTTACGAAAGTAGTTACACAACAATATAACAATATCATCGTTGAGCGCGAGGTTAGACATAATATTATTAACTAAATCTATAATGAGACTCATAATAGTTTTCTGCAAAAAATGGTTGTTAAAATTGAGCTCGTTTATTGTTTGGTAGTTGAATCCGTCAAATCTTCAAACTTCTGCGTACTTGGATGACAAAAATCCGTGGTAGTAACCCGTTTAGCTCATGGAGGTAGTCTCGATCTCTGATGTATCAAATAAAAAAAAAAATATTGTAAATGTTATTTACAAAGAGCAACCCCTAGAGTTTCTTGCTCATTCTTCTCAGGGGAATCTGCCTTACGAATGAGCCATAGAGTTGATCATTGTGACGATTTCAAGTGTAATAATGCTTACCTATGAAATAAAGATTATTTTGAATTTGAATTTGAATTACTGACGACATCTATGATGAAGTTTGTAATTATTTAAAAGTATTTTGGGGGATAAAGCTTGGTTGCTTAATTTTTTTGTGAAATCACGAAGACCTTGAAAATTATGTTGGTTTCGGTAAGTCAAAATTCAGTAATTTAATTTCTTCTCTAAAAGCTTTCAAACTTTATAAGCACTAAAGACGAGCTCAAACGCAAGCAAATCGATATTCCGCTCATGAAGCTCATTCCGTTCATTCCAATCATACCATACATTTAGTGGCATTAGAGCTCCTTGTGGAAGAGTTCGTCCAGAGAAGTGCTGTAACCATACCCATTTCTGCCGATAAGCAGTAATTTCAGCATTACTGTGTTCCGGTTTACTAGTGGCTATCGGAATGGCGACGCCAATTTTCGTAGCGAGTAGACGAGTGTAACTTGTGTGTGCGAGACAATGGATTTGGAAAGTGATGAAGAACTATTTGTCGTGGTGGCTTGTTTGTTGGCAGTAGAAGAAAGAAGAGAAAAAAACACGATATCTGAATACATGACATATTTAAGAAGAGATCGCAACGCGACGGCGCGCGCTCGGTGCTCATCCACTGATATGCAATCCTTATGACGTCGTCGGCCCGCATCGGAAAGGTTTCGTTACTGACAGCTCGGTGCGTGCGGTCCGTACGTTGCGTATCTGAGGACGCCTACCTTAAATTGGAGCGTCAAAATTTTTTTTCTATATTACCATGTACGGTACGTAGTTGCAACAGTATTTAAAAAAACTGGTTAGCACTAACTACCACCACATCACAATCATCTGTGAACTGCTAGAAATAGATTTCTTCTTAAAGAGGATTTGCCATTATCGTCAAGATTGTCAGGTGGGTGTTAGCTATCGCAATAAATATGCACGTGACGACGGTACCTACCTGTCTACCTTTTATAATTTTCTACAATCTTTCTTTTCAATCACTCATACAGTGTTGGATCTATTCATAACAAAAGACAAAGCGGCTTATAGCAAACATACATCGAGGCCAACAAGATTGAAATATACGAAAGCCAACTTCTATTGACCTGTGTAAATATATGCAATTATTTGTCACTTTAAGGTTTTAGTAGGTACTTCACAATTATCATAAGCAATTTGCGTGTTCTTTACTTTCGTTTGGGTCTTACAATTACACAGCCAAATGCTTTAGTGCAAATTGACACGTGCAGCATATTTCTATTGCGAATTATTGTTGACACTATTCCGAAGGTAGTTATTTGTTTACTTGCATCTTTTGTCAGCGGCCTCGTGATATTTTATAGAATCGTAGCTTCGTTACCTTCCCTTAAAGGAATTGCGGTGCACAGATACACCTACTGAGGTTTTTGTTTAGTTTTAGTTTTAATAGATATTGTAAATATTTAACAGCAGTAGAGCTCCTTGAGAAAGAGTTCGTCCAGGGAAGTACTGCCTTACCTATTTCTGCCGCCAAGCGGTAATGTGAGCATTACTGTGTTCCGGTTTAGGAGGGTAAGGGGTGCTAGTGAAATTACAGGCACATAGGATTTTTCAACTTATGTCTCAGGGTGATGGGCGCAGTGGCATTGCCCATAAGATCTTTGCGATTTAAAGCTTTGAGTGGCACTGCAACTGTTACGGATAGGCGTGACCACGAAAGAAAAAAAACAACGGAAGCCGCTTAAGCCTCGCACTATTGACAGAACCGATGCCGCCAAAACTCACACATTCTTAATTTGAAACACTACAAAATCTTGATATTGATTGGTCGTAGTTTCAAATTTAAAAAGAAATAGCAAATTCTTGATTGTTAATATAATTTAAACTTTACCCTGTTGGCATATCGTTGAAACTTCAATAACATCAATACAAGTTACGACGTTTTGATATTATATTGAAATTTTAATCAATATGCTGCCATCTAGCGGTTTATTGCTGAACCACCACGAATTGGGGTTATTAATTTAGTCTAAACAAGAAGCGACCTTATTGTAGGGGTACAAGCTTTCCGGGCGGCGTCGTGGTGAATGTTCACTGATCCCACGGCGCCGACTCAACCGGCGAGAGGGAAACCCGGGGGGGTTTTAGTGGGGTAGGCCTTCCAGTGTGGAGGGAAAGTCCCCACATAACTCCTGAGTCTCCCTGAGCTCAGGGGTATCCATAAAGATTTCCCCCCCGTCAAAAAAAAAAAAAAGGGTACAAGCTTTGCTTTCGTTTTTTGTAACAAAAAAATTATTTCGATAAACAGAAAATTGAAAATTTATTAAAATAACACTTTCCGATGATATGAAATACCACCACAGGTAATATTTTTGGTGCGTTTATCATTTCTCCACTACAAAACACCACAATAAAGCATTTTTCTACGATTTTAGAGAATTTGCACGAAATAATGCCATAACCGTACCATACAAAGCAAAAATGGCGAACAGAGCTCAGATAAGTATTTCGAGACCTATAGTTGGCACGCGTCAGACGCTAACTAACCACTTCTACTGTATTTATCGTTCTGTGGGCGTGACACTCGCCTGAGAGGAGACCCGTACCTTGCAGTGGGACGTATAAGTGGGTAGATGATGATATAATTATATCAAGTTCTTAGGTTTTCGCAATTGTTACACATAGGAAATGAAACTATTGACAGTCTACCGTGACCATGGGACCTGTAAAGGGCCCGAAACGTCGGTTTGTTGGAAAAAACAAATATACGCGATTTAAATCCGGAAAAATAGTTTTATTTCCTATAATTATATCAGTTAGCTTTTGATATTGAAAAGGTACTTGGACAGGTAGAGATGATACGTGTGAGCCGACAAGTTAGTAAGAGCCTTTCAAGGTGAAGTTAGCACGAGCAAATTGAGGATGTCCTCAAGAAACGCCAGGCCAAGAGTTTCCTTTAATCAATAAGCGTGTATGAAAGCATTGAAGCGTCTTGATGTTGCGAAATATGTGTGTCAGGATCGTGGCAAGTCGAAGGCTGTAGTCACTGCCTACCCTGATGGGAAAATGGTGTGAATAAAAGAAATGAATTCTGATAATTACGGATAGGCATCTTAAAAATACAAGCTTTGTGGCGACTTGTGTGAAAATCATCAATCAATTAATTT